TGCATAAGAGCATACCCTGAAGGTAAGCCAACACCACAAGACAGAGTGAGTACAAAAGCATTTCACTGAGGTCTCTGAACAAGAAATAAATTGTCTTTCATACTCAGGGCTGGTCTACACTAGGGGGTGGGGTCGATGTAAGATGCGCAAACTTCAGCTTCGCGAATAGCATAGCTGAAATCGAAGTATCCTATTTGACTTACCCCGCTGTGAGTACGGCGGCAAATTGACCGCCGCGGCTCCTCCATCGACGCCGCTTACTCCTCCTGATGAGGTGGAGTACGCGCGTCGATTCAGGGATCGATTTATCGCATCTAGATGAGACACGATCCCCGAGAGATCGATTTCTACCCGTCGATCCGGGCGGGTAGTGAAGACGTGCCCTAAGACACTGTTTTTAACTTCTGTTACTACTTCACATTTACAGAAACAAGTTTCCTCTTACAGAATGTTTTTTTGATATAATTTTTTAATGTTCAGGGCTAGGTCCAAAATTCATCATAATCATCTTAATGTTGCCTTTGGCAGCTGTTGCAAAACACCTATAGAACCATATAGTGTATTTTTTATTATTATTGTTTCAGAGGCCTATTTCAATATTCAATATTCAAGTTAATATTGGAGAACATTGTGGATGAAATACACTATAAAAATAAGCCATAGTTCCAAAATGACTTGGATGAAAACAGATCTGATAGGCTGAAGACTGTTTAAATCTATATAATTATCTCCTAGTGGTAAAATACTGCATATACTGAGCCTATAAATTCTCTTCAAAAACAGAGCAACACCCCACCAAATTTGTAATTATTTAAAATGAGCTTTTTAAAAATTAAGGTTAGCTGCTTGTTTTCCAAGGTACTGGAACTGCTGCCACTTCTTTATGATGAGACTGAGGCGTGATAAAAGACTGGTGTGCGCAAAAGAGGTGTTTTCTAGAGCCTGTTAAACTTTTACCCAGATCTCTTCTGTTTCTTTCTGTATCTATACTTTTGGGTAAGCAGCCCAATTCCAAAAGCATTTCCAAGCCCCAGTTTAAAATTCCAACATCACTGTTTCTCTGCTGTGCCATCACTAGATCAGGATTTTTGATGCAGAGGTGGCTCCATGGCAGAAACTATGAAACTAAAACTCCATTTGATCATTTTTGAACAGCCTGTTAATCAATTTAGAGCAGAACAGTACCATTCTAATAGCTAAGAGAATTATTTCTAAAAACAAAGTGCTTTATCTTCATTGTTGCTGTATCAATATCAAGGCCACTATCTCTGATTAGGGCAACAAAGTAGCCTAGTCTAGAGACTAAGGCTGGAACACAGTGAGCACTTTCAGAATGGACTGGCTCACTTTAGGACACTGGGCAAGTAATTTAGGCCAAAATTGTTTCAACTGTCCACTAATTTTTTATATATATGTGTGTGTCCACCTGAACATGGGTCCAGATTTTCAAATGTGCTGAGAATAACTAGTGATGCTTAAAGAAAGGCACTAGGTGTCTCAAAACATACATCTGAAAAATGACACACCCAGTTAGTGGACACTTTTGACAATTTTTGCCTTAATCTATGTGTCTTATTAGCTGTCCTGTTCTTTCAAAAGGCGCTAATACTTACCTACCTTCGTAAGTGTTTTCAGATCATTGGGAAAATAATGCCATGTAAGAGGAAAATAAATCGGAACTGGAAAAGCATTGATAATTTCAATGCAAGCTTCCCACTCGGCCCTACCACTGAAACTTGACCTGGATCTGGTAGTAACTCCACAAGTGAAAGGGTTGTTCGGTCCCCAAGTCCATCCAGTTCTTGGTCAATCTGTTTAAACAGCCAACAAGGGTGCTAAATATTATAGCTTAAAACCATTCACTAGGAAACTGAGTCCAACTCAGTGCACAGAAGTTACTGTACAGACATCATCTTTAGATCACTACTAACCCACAGTAAATTGGAACTGGTGACCGAGAGATGAAAGGTTGTATGTCATTTCTATTTCCATGAGCTACAAAGTTCCCTATTTTTAAATGTAAACTAACTTCTTTATTAGAAATCTACACTTCACAATGTATGCACTTTGGTCAATTTTACCTCTGGTTTGTAAACTGACAAATGCATACCCTGCTCGTTATATATTATTATTTACTCGCAAAAGTGGACTTAGAAGGTCTTAAGTCAAGGGCACATAGCTAAACAAACTGGAAGTGCATTATGTTTAAACTCCAGCTTTCTTTTACAGCCTTAGATACATTTAGTGTTCTATATTACTGTATGTAAGTATAACATGTAACTAAGTACTAAAAAGGGCAGAGTTCTGAATTATGCCAAAACGCTAACATTTTTATACACCTATGTTTAAAGTAACAAGTTGAAGGTTTAAGGGGGAGTAAAACTTTTGCTGCAGGAAAACTTAGGAGTTCCCACTCTGCAGGCAATTTATTCATTTGCTGTGCTCTACCTGGTAAATCCTCCCTTCTCAATGTTTATTTAAAGCACCAGGTAGTTCAAATATATAAATGAAACCACTTGCATACCTTTAAATATACAATTCTATGTGTCTATTTGAAGCATTGCACTTTCATACATACATAAAAAGGCAAGGATCATACCATGTATGCTCAGTATGATGCAAGTATTCAGTGATTTGTTAATTCCAGGCAAAATTTCTTTAAATTAGGCCAATTCTTATATTCCTTATTCAAAACTACCTGCACATCACAGTAAATTTTTGAATTTGAGTTGTTATATCCAAGAACTTGAAAACATGCACATGCAAAACTGATTTGCAGAATTTGACAGCCAAAAAAATCCTTTCCCACTTACATCAACTAATTCTGTTAAGCGCTTTTTTTGGGGGGGGAGGGGGGGAGAGGGGAGAGGGAAGAAGAGAATTGGGGCGGGGGGGCAGTTTTCCAACTTAGATTCTTCTGGGGCAAAGACAAAACAAAATAGTTACAACCCAAAATGCAGGTTTATTAAAAATCAATTAATCTGAAAATAAGAGTTTAGAACTGAAATATCAATTTAGTAAGTGTAACACTGTTAGTGCAACAGATTATTTCCTTCTTCCTTCAATATCGGAAAGAAAATCTCTAAGCCAACAAAAATCAAAGTTAAAGTCAACAGTGTCCTTTGCCTGCTAGGTTGAATCAGAGTATTGAACTAAATTGATGCGTACTCCTCTAATTCACACAACTAAACTCCTAAATTATCACTCCTTCCCCCACACTCCTCCTCACCGTGCGTGCACACGCATGCACGCGCACGCACACGCATGCACACACTTAGAGTCATGCATCTTGAATTACACCAGCTTATGCTACATTCCTGAAGCAGAAAACAAATAGCAGTGTAGATGGTCAACTTAAAATTAGCTAACTGGCTCAGATCCATAGGATCACAATTATATTAACATAAAGTACTAAATCATGGACATCTAGGGCCCTATCCCGCTCCCACTAAAGTCAACATGAAAACCCCTGTATATTTCAATGCAAAACAAATCGGGCTGCTAAACCATTGCTTCTTCGTCTCCAAAGAAAATGAGTACATTAATAATTAAGATAATAGACACGTGAATGCTAGTCTGTAAAAAACTCTACTTTAAATTCTTCAGTATTCTGTTAAAAGCATTTCAATAATCTCATCACCACTACTGCAAAAGGTAACAGACAAGGAAATGGGACCAGTGAATTTAAGCATTCAAGAATTAATTTCTAAAGCAACACATAGGAGAAATATGTACAGTTTCTATTAAGTAAAGAGGTGCACACCACCCACACAGCTCTTGAAATACAACCCTCACTATCCCCAGTTTTTCTGGTGGAGGGAGGCACACGATAAGGACTGGTATTTGCAAGGGTGTTTGATTTGAGTGAGTATTGTATTATTTGATTGGCATCTCTAGTTAGTTATTTTCTGATTTCAGGGGAAGCGGATAGTTTTTTTATGTCATTATACTTTTAATACTGTGTCAGACACCTAGACACCAGACTATGCATTTTTATTAATAATCCAAAATAAATAAAGTTATCTCTACAATGAACCTAGTTATGGCTTGATGTCAAGTTTCAGTGAATCGTCATTCTGTGTGACTACTCATGATTTTACTGGATTTATTTCCAACGACCATCTCAGTTATCTGTCCCTAAAATGAAAGCAAAACCTTCTTCTACATGTCCTTTTAAGATTTGTTCCTTTAAAGGAAACACTGTCAAAATGAAATGTAATCATTTCAAACAAAGGAGTAAAATTATGGTTTCAAGGTACTACACTCTTCTCTATTCGCTTAGAAATGTTTTCTTCTCCCTAGTTGCAATGTGTAAAACACCCACAACCCACCACATAAACAGGGGGAAATGACTGAGTATACAGGGGAACAATTGAAATTCTCTCTATAGAAAGTCTTAAAATCACATGTAAACAAACTAGAAATATACAGAATGTTTTTTCCACTAATCTTTGTAGTCACTTGTAACAACAGTAGGTAACAAATTTTTCAGACAGCAGTGGGATTTAAATATGTCCTTTCAAAATAGCAATTAAACAATGTTGTCTTCCAAGAAGTGAACCTGAATCAATATGCATCTATTTGACCAACTGAAGCTTGATCATACAAGCAAGGTATCAAAATCCATAGGCACTCATAACTATACTATTTGAGCACCAGACAATGAATTTATCCTTACAACACCTGTGAAGAGCTCTGTGTAAGCTTGAAAACTTCTCTCTCTCACCAACAGAAGTGGGTCCAATAAAAGGTATTACCTCACCCACCTGGTCTCTCGAACACCTCTATAAAGCATGCAATGATTGTTTTCTTAGTTGTAAAATGGAGATGAAACAGAGAGAGAGTTAAGTGATTTGCCAAAGGTCACACCAAAAGTCTAACAGAGCCAGATCTTAAATCCTGTCCCGTGCCTTGAATACAAAACCAGTTTAAACCAATGGACCAGTTTAAACCAATATATGGTACCAACATTAAAACCCATAAGTTACATAGTTACTCACCTACAGTATACCAGCTGGCATCTGTCAATTTGTTGATAACAGCTTCTTGAAAGGATCCATCAGGCATCTTGGTTTCAACCATTGCACCAACCTGCAATATAAAATACTTCAAAATTATTATGTTATATACACTTATAATCCCAGATTCATACACTGGAGGTAAACATACCAATTCTTCCAGAAAGATTTGGGGGGAGGGGTTGGCAGGGAAGAGACTCATTTAAGTTTCACTACCCTTGTGAAATGCATGCAATGGTTACATAGCCTCTGAAGTGAAAAATCATTAGCCAAATCACATTTTATTCTGAGCTGGTTTTAGTTAGCAGTGGGCAGTGAAATTAGCATACTGGGATCCCTACTGTGACTTTTGTATTATAACAAAAGGTAAGGCTACCATTTATTTTTATTATAAATGTTAATAAATATCATGGCAGAGGTGCAGGAAAACAAGGATATGTCATGGAACTGGGGGGAGAATGGAGGGCTCAGACAGTGAGCCCATCCCACACTCACTCCACAGCAATGGGTCCTATCCTATGGGGCTGGGCTCAGCTCCCCGCATTGAGTGTTGCGAGCTGACCCATGTGGTCACAGCACTAATCAAATTTGGCCCTCTGTCTCTATATACAGAGGGGTGGACACACCAAACCTGAGAGGTGTTGTAACCGTCTGGGCCAACTTGGAACGTTCAAAGGGGAAAGGTGCAGCTGCTGCGGTAGTCATAAATTTTATTCAAATTCAAGATCTAAACCACTAATCCAACATTTTAACAGTATTAGTAGTGGTATATGTGTGTATAGGATAAGAAAATAAAGCCTGTGTTATTACATACATTTACTCTTTGAACTCAAACATCAAGTAGATACACTTCACTGTCAACTGGACAATATAACAGAGTTTCTGAACTTGGTCCAGATTTTGACAACAGCATTTACTAGTGCCTTTGAGGTAGCAGCACAGGAGGTAAGGACAAGGGAAAGGCAAAAACCCCAAGCAAATAAATAAGGGCTACCCAGCGTAAGGTCATTTCTGCATTGAGTATTTTATATTAGTCACCTGTTCTAGCAGCTCCTGAGTGAACTGAATATACATCTTGTTTACTCCTGTCTAATGTCTGTATTTTAAATAAATAAATTAATGGAGATATCCTATCTCCTAGAACTGGAAGGGACCTTGAAAGGTCATCGAGTCCAGCCCCCTGCCTTCACTAGCAGGACCAAGTACTGATTTTGCCCCAGATCCCTAAGTGGCCCCCTCAAGGATTGAACTCACAACCCTGGGTTTAGCAGGCCAATGCTCAAACCACTGAGCTATCCCTCCCCTCATTTTGCTTGACATAGTGGACATTTCCCAATTTATGTCTAACGTATTTACAAAAATAGTCTTGCCTGCAATAACATTTCCATACAAAACTAACTATGTCAAAGGCATAGGGATAGGGATAAACATCTTTTAAAAACTAAAATATTAGCTAATAATGATAATTACTCATTGAGGGCCTGATCCGCAGCCCATGGAAGCCAATGGAAGTTTTTCCATTGACTTCAACAGACTGTGCATTAGATGCTCAATGTCTAAATGTCAATGTCTAAAGTGTCTAAATTTAAAATAATTACAATTTAATTGTACATTTGAAAAACATGCTGCATACATACTCTTAAAGGTCCTTTTACTTGGTCATCTTGAACTAACTGAGCTGAGTTATCCTGTTTCAGGATCACCTGAAAAATATTTTAGAAACGGATATATACATTTTACTTTCATACTTCCAAAAAGCATGCACAACAATCCTTATGGCAACATCTAAAAAGTTAAAAAATACAAACCCTTATCTATCAAAATCACTAACATTATTTAGTACAAACAATATGACAGTGTTTGAATTTACAAGGAGCCCAGGTGCCATCTGAATTACCAAGTAAATACCATGCATTCAATACCCAACTTGATGAATCAGTTAGTAGTTAAGAGGATATCTCACCTAAATCGAATCTCAGTCATACCAATAAAAAAACATTTACAATTTTTTATACAATTATGAGCTTGGACAATAACACAATCCTGGCTTTTCCTGCAATGGGCCACCAGGCTAGAGGCTTAAGAGTTATACTTCTCTCACATCATCTGTAGCATTCACTATTAACAAAGCCACTGTATTTCCAGGGCAGAGAATTTCCTGCAGAATCTACTCTTTGCTGCAGAGGGCTTGTCTACATGGTAACAGGAACCAAAATAACTAAAATCAGTTGTAATTCACACCTTTAGTTATTTTGGTACAAGTCAGTATTTGGACATTCTTTAGAGTGCCCACACACAGACACACACACTAAAGTTGTGAATTCAAACCAATTAAGTTTTTTTAATTCCAGTTACTGTGTACATAAGACCTAAGTTTTCCTTCCACAAAAGTTATTGGTTCAGCTCTCGTGGTTGTGAAGACAACCTTGAAAATATGTAGACCCGTGTGTGGATACAAAATTTGTATCTGCATCCAATCCACAAAAATGATCCCCGGATATAAAGTGGATATCCACAGATTTCCAGGATTCTAGATATAAAATTTGCATCCATTTTCAATCTGCAATCCACAAAAATGGTCCATGGATTTGCAGAGCTCAAAAAAAAAAACAAAAAACCCGGATTGATGTTTGCCACTTCCTGCAGAGAGACTGCAAACAGGAACTTTAAGAAACGTAAACTGGGTCATTCATTTCCATGGACTGTTAACTTTGAAACTTAAAGATGAATGTAGGATGTCAACATTGTTAATTATTTTACTGCTGATCATTTTAACAGAAACATCTAGCTAATGCATTTATCCTACAATTCCAAAATGCTTCCCACATTTCTGCAGTGGCCAAGAGTCAAAACTACTCCCTTTGCATCTACCAAACTCTCCAAATTCCTCCCAAAAAACGTATACAACGTAGTTATTCTTCGTCAATATAAAAATCTGTGGTACACTAAAACATGAACATGAAGACATATGTATTATTCATTTTCTTATTTAAGGTGCATGCAGGCAGACTCATGTGCTTGTGAAAAGCCCTACTGAACTCAATGGACTTGGCATAGGCACAAGATGTGCCCACATGCACCTAACTGCAAGATCAGGCTTAACTAATTAAAAATGTCAAATTTTAAAATGTAAATGAGATAGCAGCAGCAACATTAGAGATCCCAGGGACCGTACAGTGGAGTATTCAAGGCCCTAACTATGATCCAAGGGGAAAAAACTCACATATAAAAATAATCTAAATAGTCTGTGGACCAGTGCAGACCAAAAAGGTGGAAACCACTGCTTTCCACAACAATACCCTCATTCAAACAGATTTTAAAAAGCGTCACCAAAATCCCATAATTTGCTTGTTGGTGACAAGGGAAGAAGAGATTTGTTTTGAAATTCAGGGAAGGTACTTTGATATAAAGCGATGAGGTCCATATAAGCACCCAGACAGATAGATCAAACAGAACAACCAAAGTACAAAAGCACATAGAAACTAAGATGTGTACCAAAAAAGAACTGATTTAATCTAATTTTTTTGTCACTGTAGTAGCTCATATACAGTGTCCTGAATGCTAGGCTAGAAGGTAGGAAGTAGGAACAAAGTGGAAAGTAAATTTTTGGATCTACTCTGCATGTTGCGTAAACATGTATGTTTGGACGGTTTATGAAACCGTCCAAACATACATGATCTTGATCTCCATCTTTTATAAAAGAGTGTGAAAAAAAGGAGGAAAAAAAAGCAATTTAGAAGGAATGCCAAAACAATAAAAAGTTTCCTCCTGTATCAACGTACACTAAGTTTTAGCACAATCCTTGCCTCGGAAAGACATTGCACAGAAATTTCATACAGCTAGAACTTGCTGCTTTGAAACAGTTTTAAAACAGTTGTTTACATTTAACAGACATCTCATGGACAATCCTGAAAAACTGTTCAATGGAAATAATTTTCATCTCCTCTTTGCTTCCTAGCTATAAAAGACTGAGGATGTCTGCATGATACAGAATCTTTGCTTCTGAAGAATCTTTGCTCCTAGTTCTTATTGCTCACCTAAAGCCATAATGCTCTATTTATGCCATCAACATTGATTACTGTGGAAGTGACAGTCACAAACAGAAGGTTATAACTGCAAATGAGAAATAAAGTAGCAAGAGCAGATAAACTTATTTTAAGAATTATTTTTATGCTAGTACCCTTGAAAAGAATTTTTTTTTAAGATATGACAAACATAATTGCACCAATATAGAATTACTTAAAAAAAAAAAAATCTTCCCAAGAAATGTCTACAACTTTGTATAACCACACACTAATTTTAAGGGGTATGATTTTCCTTGACAACCCTTTTAATATATTTTCTAATAAAAAAACAAGGAAAGCAATAGCATTAATGTCATTAACCCTACCTTGACTTTCACCAGCCTTTTCACTGTCTTAATCTTTGCCTCACAAAAGGCACCACGGTACTTGGCACTGACATCAGTTCCCACTGTCAGGTAGGCAGGCTCATCTGCTGCCTAACAAAAGGAGAATAAATTAGAACAAGGTTTAGTCTTATATTTTACAAAAGTGTATTTTGTTAAAATAATAATAATAATTACTGTCTTTACAGTTGCATCATCATATATTCAAATATACACCCAAGCTTTTAGTCCTATTGACCATTTCTTAATTAGGTCATAAATGATGGTTTATGTTGCTTCCCAATATTGCAGACAGCCTAATCTTTCTTTACAATAAGATCTGACATATGCTAAAATCTAGAACGTCAACTCTTTCCTAATAGTGGCCCTTGATTTTGCTCCAATTAAGTCTGTGGAACATGCGAAGTGTTTTTTCCCCCCAAATATACACATTTTTACCAAGGTGCTGTGCATAATATTTTAACCATATTTAAAGTTTCATTGCACAGGAATTGTTTCTAAACAAAACATACAACTTCAAACAGACAGTGTAAGAAAAGTGAGTGGTACACATTTTTCTTACACAATTATTTTCATGTCCCCATTTTGCAAGAATGTACTAATAGTCATTTAAGTGCAGAAATACAATTTAAAATAGCAACTTTTTTTTAAAAAGGAACTTAAGTAACTGATGAAAAATGAGTAAGAATGGGCCAATGGTTATGGTTTATAGCACTATTTTGCAGCATACACAAATCATCATGATCCAAAGAAATAAATCAGCTTTGCCAGTAAATTTCAGCATATTGGGCTGGCTAAAAAGATTACGTCACACTGAGTTTACTGATATATGTTTTGCTCCAGGAATCTTAACCCCACCCCCCCAATTTTATCAGTCTGACTGTTGTCTCAGAAATACCAGTTCAATAACCTCAAAGAGAATTGAAGCATATGCTTACAAACGGCGGGGGAAAGAAATAGAAGGATGAAGATAAGTTCAGTACATTGCTATAAACAATACAATATGAAAGTGATATTTCATTTTGAATGCAGCTGCATCTCAGACAATTGCAATTTCAAAATTTATACAGTAACCATAACCTTTATGTACTTAAAAGTATCTTAGATTTCTGTTGTTTCAATGAGAAAAAAAAAAGTGTTCTATGGTGTTCTCTACATCAGATTTTCTGAAGGAAAAACAGCAAAAGAGCTACAGAAAAGTTTGCTGTAATCTTTCAAACAAGTATATTAAATGTTATTTTTCTTCCTTGAAAGGTCTTTGTTAAGATTTATTTTCCCTCCAAAACATGTGCAAGTTTATCATTTTCAAGAACATTTGTGTGTGTACCTGGGCATTATTAATTTACATTTTATTTTCTTTATTTGACTTTTACAATGATCAATAAACTTATGCTAAGTTACTATATTAAAAAACAAGCTACAGTAAAATAGGAAATCAATACATGCAATGAAATATTTTGTGTTGATAATGAACACAAATAATGAACTATTTTTTGCTCGTCTCTGCATCTAAGAAGCGTTTCCCTCCATGTGACTTACCCTGCAATTGTTAAGCCTTTGCTCTGGAAAAACTGAAACGGCTAAGGAAGGACAAAAGCTGTGGTTTTGCAAACTCACAAAAGCTACAGCCAACACAGGAAGCATTTAAAGATAGTACTCCAAATGACAACAAGTCAAAGGCATCCTATGTTTCCAAAGTGGTGTTACTGCATAGGTGAGGGATTGGCATGAGCTGCCCTTCAGTGAGAGAAGAAATGGGATTTCATTCCATTCAACATGTGCCGATTTCCACAGCCAACTTTATTCTGCTGTTGTTCAACGAAGATACATTGATTAAAAATGAAGACAATAAGGTGATTGGTGCAGGGAGAAGAGAAAGAGCACAAATGCTTCCCCTACTCCTCATCTCAGGACCTGGACAAACTTACCTTCATCTTTGAAGGTTATTTGAGGGATTCCAGCTCAAAGATTTCTCTTGACCCCAGTTATACAGAAAAAAGCTAGAAAACAAGAGAAGGAAGATGATCAGACACACATCTGCATACATGTGGATTTATTAAAAGGAAACATCTTGATCTTGGGAGAACATAATTCAGTTACAAGCATAGGGAAGATTATTAAACACACCCCTCCACATTGTTTACACACCCCCCTCCACCCTACGAGCACACCCACCTCTTTACATCCCTAAAGCATTCCCTCCACAGGAAGCCTCCGAGCCCCACTTGCTGCCCTGTGTGTGCAGCTGGAGGGGACAGCGAGAAGTGCTGAAAAGGGGTCCTTGCTGGGGACAAATGGGCCCTTGGAGATCTGGGCAAGAAGCCGCTACTACCTCCTTTTCCTTCCCGCTTTGGCTGCCTCCTGCTCTTCCTCAGCCCCTCCGTGTGTCAGGTCGCCATTGCTCCCTCTGCCTTTGCACCATGTCAGGGAAGAAAAGGCTCCACACACACAACGTAGGCAAAAATACCACTACCTACACATGATCTTAGCTACTACTACTAAGCAGCTCGCAGCCCAGCTGCTGGGACAAGGGCAGTCCCTGCGCAGGAGAGACAAGGCCCTGAGCCGCCTCCTTCCCCTCTCAACTTTCTCAAGCACAAGAAGAGAGATTACTTAGGAAGGACCCTCCCCTCCCCTCTCCCCGAGAAGTCTTTAGACTGGGACGCAGAGAGGAGTTAGACCAGGGCTTCCCCACACCCCCTGCCTCCCCAACTAGCCTCCAGCCCCCCAACGCCTCCCCACACCCCCTGCCTCCCCAACTACCTTCCAGCCCCCCAACGCCTCCCCACCTCAAATACCTTCCAGCCCCCCAGCACTCCCCTTGCCTCCGACACACACCCCCTTCTCAACTACCCCTCAGCCCCCTCCAAACAGACATAACCCAAGCCCCACCGCTGCCAGGGGGTGGCCCTCCGCAGCAGCCCGGCGGGGGGCGGGGGGCTCGCCCACGGAGAGGGTGGGAAGCGAGGTCCCCGTGCCCCCTGAAGCTGAGCAGGGAAGAGCTGATTGGAGACGCGGGAGGGGGGCGGGCAAGGGGAACCTGCCGACTCCCCCCCACCCCCGAGAGGGCTGACGGGGGCGTTCCCCTATCCGGGCCGGGAGATAAGGCGTCCCCGTCCTCCCTGCCGCGAAGAGGGGTCCTCGATCAGAGAAGGGAGGAGAGGAAGCGCCGGTCCCCGCGCTGGGATGGGGGGTGGAGTTCGGCGGGCGAAAGGAGTCCGAGTCCCCCTCTGAGGGGAACCGAACGGGGGGGGCTGCCTCCTCCGTGACTGGGTGAGGGAGCCCCGATCCCCCGAGTGAGGGGTTTCGGGAATCCCGATCCCGCTTCCCCCGGGACGGCAGCGGAGTTGCGGCTGCTGAGCCGCTCACTGCCCTCTTGCTCCTTCCCCCTACCTTTAAACTCAGAGCCAAGTAGGGATCTGCTGCGAGCCCGGCCCCCAGCCCCGCTCGCGGCAGGCGCCTCAGAGACAGCGGCGGCGGAGGCAGCAGCAGCGGCGGCGGCTCGACTCCGCTCCACCCCCCCTTCCAGCCCGGACTCGAACCGAATCACCAGCGATCAGCCAAATAACAAGCTGTTGAGCAGTATCTGCCCTGCTCGAACTCCCATTGGCCCCTCGTGACGCCCAGGGGGCTCTACCCTGCCCAGATTGGGCGCCGCGGACAGCCCCCTCCCATTGGTCACAGTGTACCAGTGAGAGCAGATTGGTCAACAGACGACGCAGGTAAAGCAACGGAGACTTTTGATTGGTGAATCGGTGGCACTCGAGTCGATTGGACATTTCTGAAGTGAAGTAATCGCACACCTCACGCTGATTGGTACGAACTGGATCCGGATGTAGCTTTGCGTGCGATGATTGGCAAGCGTGGAGGTCAGGAAGAGCAGCGGGGCGATGTGATTGGTGTGGACTGTGTCATAGACATGGAGAGGGGGCGGACCGAGAGGCCTGCGGCGGCGGCGGTAGAGGCTGCATAGCTCCGCACAGAGCATGCGCCGCGATGGGCCTCCCGGGCGCCATTTTGTACGATGCTCTTTCCCATTTTAGGCGGGGAGGAAGGGAGCGGGAGTGGTCTCTGCGTTTCCCGGGGGGCTCTGCCTCGTCTCGGGCTAGGGGATGGGCTCCGTGGGACTTCCTCCTTCCGGCTGAAGGCTCCGTCTTCTCTCCTGTCCGGAGGCGATGGTGGTAGCGAGCGGGTAGCGTTTCCCCTCCCTTAGCGCGGTGATGGCGCAGAAGCCGGGGGGAGGGGGAAGCTCGGCGAAGCCGGACCCGGAAGTGAAGGGACCTCTGAGGAGCCGCTCACCTAGCCCATGGCCGCGGCGGAGGAGGAGGAGCTCCGTGAGGAGGGGGAAGTGGCAGCAGCCCGCAGTGATGTCTGGGCCACGGAGGCGGGGCCGTACAGGAGGCGGCCGGGTACGGCAGCGTAAGTCGGTCGGCGCAGCCCCGTGCGGATTGGACCCGCCGCCCCGGTGGTGAGCGAGGCCTGCCCAGCTGTAACCCCGGGCAGGCGCCTTCTGGAGCTTGCTGGCAACCAGTGTCAGTGAGGCTATAGGCGAGGTTCGAGCTGCTCCTTCCAGGAGCGTGTTGACTCTGAAGCCTACTGATCGCAACGTCGGTGGGGGCGTTAGCTCTGTGTTAGCTCCAGGAGAAATGTGCAGAGGCTCCGGGATTGTGGTCTGGGGAGCTGCCTGTCCCGCGGGCATAGCGGCGCTTTGGTAACTCGCCAGCTGCTGCTTTCAGAAGTAGCAGGGGTGTTGCACGTGTTGCTCTTGGAGCCACCGCCCAGGGCATGAGGTGGCAGTTCGCTCCCGGGTTAAGTGTGTGCTGTATCTCCATTAGTCTGTGTCATACTCATGATGCACAGGAAGGAGCAGGGTGGGGAGGATATGCGTGTCCTGCCTCCCAGGCATTTTTCAAGTGGCTTTAGTGATTGTGACCAGTCCAAAGGCTACAGCCATGGAGACTGAGTTTCCCTTTCCACAGAATAGCCAGAGTGCAGCTTTCCTTTACACCCTTGCTGGTTCCATTGGCTGGGAACAGCGAACTGCGGCCACAGGGAGCTGAGGGGCTCCATGCCTGCAGACGCTCCAGGTCAACAAAATGACAATGTATTAGATATTCAATGATTCTATAGAGTTTAAAATTATCAAATTTTGGTGTAGACCCCGTTTATAAGCCGACCCCCGCTCTTCAATGTGTCGTCGTTTTACCAAAAATATTCGACTTGTGAACGAGTATATACCGTAACTATTTAACTGAAACTCAAGCTACAACATGAAGTGCTGTTATCACTAAACCTGCTAAAGATCTAAATGTATTTTGGTTAAATATTTTGCATAATAACTTACACTTGAGAACACCCCTTCAACCTCCCATCTAGTGCTCTAGGCCATGGGTTCTCAACCTTTTTTTTCCCCTCAGTCTCCTCTCTTCCGTCCCCCCACATGCTATAAAAACTCCATGGTCCACCTGTGCGACAACAACTGCTTTTCTGTATATAAAAGCCAGGGCCAGTGTTAGGGGGTAGTAAGTATGGCAATTGCCTGGGCCCCATACCACGAGGGGCCTGCGAAGTGGCTTGTGGCCGCAGGCTTCAGCCCTAAGCGGTGAGGATTCAGCTTTCTGCCCAGCACATCTAATGTTAGCCCAGCTTCATGGCCCCCTGAAACCTGCTTGTGGCCCCCCAGGGGTCCATGGACCCCTGGTTGAGAACCACTGCTCTAGGCTCCAATCGAGCAATGGTCTCTGGTTGCAGGAGTTCACCATGCAGCGTTTATAGGAAGATGAGGGCCCCAGAGATAGTCTGTCAGTGCCTGCTGAATGATGCCAGAATGGCTTGATATCTAATAACAAGCTTCCAAGTCCCTTCTAGTTCCAGAGTTTGGTTTTTACTAGATCTGAAGCTTTAGAAGGAAAGTGGCATACTCTGGCAATGGAAAAATTTACTAGTTGGGCAGTATTGCATAGTATGGATATGCTTTAGGTACTTTATTAGAGATAGCATGTTGGGGATGTTTGCAGTCAGATGTTCGAAGACTTAACCATATAGGCAAAAAAGTTCAGAACATAGTTCTGTTAGCTGGAGTTGAGTTGTGATTTATTTTTTTTTTTTTAAGATTTTTGTTGTACTTGACTGGTATCGTGTTTACAATACATAACAGAAGCATGGAGTTTGAGGGGAATTTTTTTTTTGGTTTAGATTGTTGGGGTTTTGTGCTAGTTAAGTGATGTAGTGAAAAGCAAGTTGGCATTTTATTCATGCATAATATCATTAGTTCTGTTTCATAAAACATTCAGATTCTTCATTGGATAAAGTGAGGAGACTTTATTATTGCTAAGAATACAAGATCAGTTATTGTTATAGTAACTAAAACATGTATGGCTTGAAGATTGGTCCTTTTAACCTACGTATCTTTTGTTTGGAACATGTTGCCCAAGTCATGATTTAGATTGTAAGCTTTTTGGAGCAGGGGTTGTGCCTTTGTAAAGCACTTAGTACACCAGCACTCAATAAATATCAGCTAAATACAAAACTAATAAGCCTTGTTTCTAATTTCTAGCAGAAGCCCTGGCTACCTGCTGATATCACCATTGGTATCTGAGACTACATGGAATGTTTAGGAAGTTCTTGATGCATTGGTCATCCAATGGAATAAAATGATTTCTGTAGAGGGTCTACTTGTATTATGATTACAATAAAAGTACCTCAGACTGTTTAGCCAATCAGACCACCTAATTGAACATTCTGACACTACTTAAAAAGATGACATCTAGTATAATGGAATGAAGATTTCTTTCACTGAGGTGGGGGAAGCTTTCATTTTAGTTTTAAAATATTAATTTCAGAGCTTCACGACAACAAGAATTGTATTGCGTATGTTGAAATTCTGAGTTTATTTACATTACAATGAATTGGGAAAAAGTTCCCAGACAACTTGAACTGATTTCTACAGTGTATCCCATTTTGCCTTTTTCTTTCTTGTTACTAGGGATATCCTATATCGAAACAAATCTTTTTAGCAGTCTGCTGCTTATTTTATCTAATGGCATAATCCTTTGACATAACTGCCCCTCTGGGACTCAATTTGTCACGCACAACGTTAACAACCTTTTAGGAATAGGTGCAGGAGCAAACAGAAAACTTAGACACACAAGGGGAATTAAAAATTAAACTATTAATAGCGACCTTTTACATGGAAAAATCTTCGCTTTGATTCTAAGAGTGTATGTACTTTCATACATATTGCATCTGTATGAAAATTGGATATATACACAGAAATTTGGGGGTCTGTAGGCCTTTGTTTAAGGATCAAAATGGTCTCTGCAATATAACATGAAATTTTTCATATTTCAATATGTAATCTTATAGGTATCTACAGATGTCGGTTATAAAGTTTATCAAATATGTAAGCCTTGATCCCGAGTGATGGGTACACTTTGTAAGTACACTGCGGGGGAGGGATTTGATAAGTTCCTTCTAATGATCGTATCTGAACTGAAAAACTTACAGAAATTATGCTGATAATTCCAAGCATCTGGCACTCCGTCCAGGAAAACTAGCAAGACAAAGAGCAGTGGATTCTCCATTTCATAATACTCCTTATAAGAGCATAAATAGCAATCAAACACAAATTGTTAAAAGGAAAGCTCTTTACTTCATTTTGCTCCCCTGGGTACTAAAGGTCAGATGAGCATGTTTTAATTAGTTCTGATTGTTCAAATTGATTAGTGCATTACTTCTGACACATTCCGCTTGTATTCAGAACTAAGAGCTCAAATATATATGCAATTCATGTAAACGTGATAGTCAAAAGAGCTTTGGCAGTATTCAGAATACCAGAACTTTGTTTCCCTGCCAGCTTCTGAACACTTAAATGGAATAGATATAGAGAGGGATACTGTTTTCATCCAAGAGTGTTTGAAAAAGAGCCTGCGTTGTGTGCGACCTCTTAATGATGCTTTTATTCCTACTCTTCCTTCATGTCTGCTACCTCATCTGAACTTCTTCCCACGTTCACTATCGTATCTGTAACCAGTGAAGTGTGTTGTGTGGCAAGCGTGCATTGTAGTGGAGCCTGAATATCAACCTCCTTTGAACCTCGGGACATCTGTGCCACTGGAATTGACATCTTCCTACAAAACGTGAGCATGAACTAAGCTGTTTATAAGCCATAAAGCTTTATTTTGTATCACACATGATTGTGAGCTGTGTGAGAAGGTCTCTCTAGATTAAAAAGGAAACATTTCTTTCAATGTTTGAAAATATAGCTGTCCTGTGAACACAAGTCCATTGCAGGGGGGGAAAAAATCAGTAAAAGTAGCTGCATTACTAAATGAGAAGGGTTAAATTAGTTTTAGTCAAAACAGTATTTTCCATTACCATTAACCACACCTAGTAAGTTCCTCTTCTTGATGCTTTCCAGTGATGCTGAATGCATAATACAGGTTTTCCCAAAAAGTTCACAACCTATTCCCTGCCTTTTGTAAACATGTTTAAAAAAATGGATTTTGTTGGAATTGCTGGGGAAGTTGCAATAAGAGTTGCCACCACATAAGAGGTGTGAATCACCATTTTTATGTCACCCTGAAGTTAGGGATG